GACCAAATGCGTTTGTGAGTCATCTACAGCTGCATGTAATAAACCGAAGTGAAGGTATTCGAGACACAAGCCCCCTTTTTATATTAAATTAATAATTGCGGTGTACCGAGCATTCGTGTTTCATTTTTTTTTCCTGCCGTTGCATGCACGTACGCATATTTATTTAAAAGGGTTGCCAACTGTAATTGGACGTGCTGCGGAAGTTCGGTTTCGTCCTGGTATCGATTATCAAATTCAATGAATTTGTTTGTATCGGTTACGTGCTTTTACGTAATTTCAACGTTTAATTATCAATGATTACAGAGTGCAAAAATCGTTGATAAATATTTAAGTAGAATAAAGAAACATTAAAAATATAAAGATAAATAATGTTTAAAATTGCATCAATTTAGACTACAAATTACATAAACAACTTTACTTTTCAATATTTATCTTGTATTTAACTTAAACAGTTCTTGGGAAATTTGCTAGAATAAAGACAGATTAATATTTTTTTAATTATACATCAAGTCGTTGCAGCTACAGCCTAATCTAATTGAAAACACGCTATAAAATAAAATTATTTTAAAATTAAAACTGTAAAAAAAAATAATCTTAGTTATTAAGTAATAACAAAGGGTGTGTTTCTTGCAGCGTAATCCAAACTCTAATACTCTAAATTTAATTAAAACTGTTAATGCGGTGCGCTTCCTAATGATCAGTTGATTAAATACGTGCACGTAACGGCGCGGGAGAAGTGTATGTGTGTTTCTGGGCGGTATTGTTGCGTCATTTTCTCTTCGGCTATTGTTTTTGGCTATCAAATATTTGCGCTCGTTAATCCTGCAAACGCGTAACATCATCCCCAAGGGAAACAAGGGGGAAGCAAACATCGCAACGTTCCTTCTGGCTCTTCCCACCCCCAAACTCCTTCTCCTCACAAATACACACATAAATACACACACTCGATACAAAAGGATACTTCTCGTAATTCATTCGCTAATATTATAAAACATTCACGTGTCCGACATATGCCCGATACAAAACAAAACACGAGCAGAAACAAAGCAATAATAAAACAAAACAGCAGCTCGCATCATAATGAAGCCATTTAACAATAACGGCATCATAATTTGCAGATAAACGGAACCGATCCTCCGAATCCGGCGATTAGCGCGGAGGCCGGAATCGATGGACAATAGAAAATCGACGGGATTACGCGGACAAATGAAAAAAGAACAAACAGGAAATCCGGATTTCCAACACCTATCTCTCTCCAATTCCACAATATAAAAAAAAACACAATTCCTTCCCTTTGTATTTGCGTGATTATTGGATGACGGATGGTTATTCGAGAAGAAGGTCGTCCACCCACATTACGATGCGGCGTTAAACTGAAAGCGACATAAAGTGTCCATATATTTTTTTTTATGTAAAGAACGCGAATAAAAATTATGCATATATTATGGATAGCAGCGAAAACCGCGAACGAAATTTGCATTCGAAACAAATGCAAATTGAGGAGAGACCCCATTGTATTATATAAAACGGCGAGAGGCGACGGCGTTCGCAATTATTTCGTTTAGGTGATCCTTCGAGAGATGGCCTCCAAAGATTCACCCTTCGAAACAGCCGAAGAAACGCATTCGTTACACGGAGGGAGGAAAAACAAGCAGGATTTATTTACTCCTGTAGAGAAGACATTAATTTATTGCATTCCGCAAGAAACGAGGCAACACGATAATGATTACGCAAGTATCAATCTTTGTTCTTTTCTGGAACGAATGTTAAAAACAAAACATTGATGAGTCATTTCTATTAGTTGCTGGGATTAAAAATACTTAATTTTGTTCTTGCTAGTATTAAAAAGGTGTTCAAAATGAACACAAAAAGAAAGTGAAAATTAAAAAGTCTTATTCAAAGTAGATTGAAAAATTGTAAAAATTGAAAGTGAACGGTAAATACTGTTTATTATCTATTCAATTTTATAGAACATGCAGTCTCTTCCAAATGGAAAGTAAAATAGAGTGGAAATTCTGACTCGACATAATATAGACGATGAAACGCAAGAAGAACAGAAATGGAAAAAGAACTGGTTTGATGCAAAGAAATGAATCACTTTAGAGAGGAAAATCAGAAATAGTGCATTTACTCCACGAGTTACAAAACGTTTTTCTTGCATAAAGAATATTAAAATTATAACATTTTGCTAATATAATAACAATAATAATTAAGTTTAATCTTCATGTTGTAAATTAAAGTCAACGAAACGAAATGATCTGACGTTAATAATTATGTTTATTGCAAAATGAAATTAACAAAATCCGATTGGAATGTAGTAAGTTCGAAAGTAGGACCAAATTAAAATCGCATTAAGAAATCATTAACAAAGAAAAAAGAAAATGAAACTTCAATTTCCAAATAGTTTAAATAACAATCAATATAAGAAGTGAAACAATCTACAAGAAGTATTGATTAGAACTGAAACTATGTAAATTTGCAATGTAAATCAACATTACGCGAGAAACAAAACACTCGTACTTTCTCAGAACAATTGAAAGGATTGGCGTCCGTCGTGTCCTCAGCGTTAAATTAAGGGCGTTACAATTTTGCGCGGAGGCTCGAGCTTATAATTCATTAACGAAATTCGGCACGTTTTTGGGCATTATCCGGCGGCTCGCAAACTGAATTACATTAGATGGAAATTGCGATATTTATTAAGCCTGCGGGATGCGCATAAATAGAGGCTCGACGGGGGGATGAAGCGGTGTGAGGGGATGGTTGAAAATTTCGGTGTACGTAATAAGCGTCCGTATTTCAGGGATTAATACGAATATATATAGAGAGAGAGAGTAGCGCGTGTATAATGCAAGGGACTGTCAAAACCTTCAACTTTGGGTTTATGCATACAAACACACATATGTGTGCAGGTAATATGCACATGGCAGGTGCTTTAATGGCTTTTTAATGTCCCATTATATGGGCACATACATAAAATAATAATCCATTTTGTCGCATCGTTTTAATAAATCGCATCGTTGCTGGTGGCGGCTTTTCCCCCGCGAACCTTAGCACAGGAAATAATGAAGAGAAAGAATGAACCAAAAAAAAAAACCCTTTTTGTATACAATATCCATCCACGATTGGGTTCGAAGGAAGTGAAAGGCCGAAAGAACATTCGAAACAAAAGAATGTAAATGTATATGCATGGAAATTAAAAGTGTGGCGGTTGAAAGAGGGGCGCGGGGGTGGAAAGGGAAAACCGCCACGTGGACACAAACAGTTTACTATGCAAATTGCCCTCTACCGAACACGCATTAAATATTTAAACGTGGAATCGAAAAGAGTTTTAAAACAATATAATGATAGCCGCCGCCGCCGCTGCTCCACTTTCGCAATTTAATTGTGGAAAAACGCCGTTCCGTGCCTCTTTATTAATTCATCCGATTCCGCCCAACGTTCTGTTGTTGTTTTTCACTTCANTTTTTTTACCCTGCTCCACCGACGTGCGCCGCCTCCACCAACCCCCCGTCGTGCTTCTATTTCAATAGAATAATAATATAAAACGTATATATGTGCATGTTGTACTTGTGTGTGTGTATGTCATGCGAGCGTGTTTATCAAAGATTAACGATTATCGATCGGCGATTCGGGGGCGGCCGCGGTGGCGGAAGGTGAACACGCGAAGGGAACGAGAAAACGGCGACCGGACCGCCGCACCTGCCCATTAGTTTTCCCCCTATGTGCTTTCCACGTACCTAGCCCCCTTCGATCGATGATTCTTTTTAGTTTTGCCACCCACCCCCCTACACCCCTTCCCGCAGCAACCAACACGCGGCGATAACAAAACACTTTAATTGGAGCTGAATAATTGCCGGATTATAATCGAAGACGGCGGGCGCCGCTCAGACGACGGAAAACCGAATTTCTGTTCTAAATTAAGTTTTCTGTTTTTTTTTCCCCCGATATGGAAATAATAATAATAAAGCGCGAGCGCTTGAACGGGTTGGACGAGGGTTCGAGCAGAGTCGGCGGTGGCTTTTCTACGCTTAAAAGAAAAATTAATTCATAAATATTTTAATAATTTAAACGGCGCCCCCTCGACCAGATCAATAACTCCAGTTTATATCACCTCAAACATTCAAAACTTCCGTCAGGCTAAAACTTAACGCTAACGACATCTTCACACAGCCTTACGTAACAACACATGCACGTTTAGTTACATAAATATATTTTTTTTTAAACTATCTACATATTTTTTTTATCCTTATAAATTCCCACTTCAATTGAGTTTCTTTAAAATTATGGACTTAAATTGGAACTTACAGCATTCGAATTGCATTTTTGTTATACAATCGATCTTATAGCGACACAAATATTTCTAATTAAAAAGATCTTTAATTATTTGTAATTATATTGATTACATAACGAAATATGCAAATTTGGTTGCATAACGTTTTTAATTTGAATTTGAAATTATTGCACCCTTATTTTTTTTAATATTAATTAATATCCAAAGATTTTGTAAATTTTGACAATCTTTAATTATTAGTTAATTAGTAAAAGTACAGATACTTTGTTTTATAGTGTTAATAATCTAGATATAATAAAAATAGTTACCAGAGCCTAAACAAAAGTTAACAAATGTCAACAGTAAAAAAGTTTGAAATCTAATATAATAAATATTTTATAAGTTTTTGTCTAATAAAATCTACGTCAAGTTTAAAAACATTGAATTAAAATAACAACAATCTTTAAATATTCATTAATAACTAAGAAATTAATTTACGAAACTTTTACGAAAGTTTCATAAAGTTATTAAATTTGAAAAACTCACCTTAGTATTGTGAATGAAACTCGTATAAACTTCATATACTTCTTCATAAATAATTACACTTTTCTTCTTCCACAATTCCATCAGCTTCCAATCACTTCCGGTATAAAATGTAATAAACAATTGCAAAATTTACAATTCAAACTGTGATAACTGAAGTTAGCTACAATCCATCCAACTTGATCCAATTGGATTCAAATTTCGTCCGCTAGAAGGCGTCGTTCATGCTGTAACATAAAAGTGAGGTTAGTATTCATTTTGTATTTATACCAATTTTTATTATTTTATCCAAACATTTCCCTTTGCAGTTACAATGTCTAATAGCCATCTGCTTATGAAGGCGGGTTTCATTACGAGCCCAGCACAGAACGGAGTAGGAAGATACGTATGTCAGCTACAGCGAGTAGTCTTGAAGTTCTGCAAGAATAATGGATCCAGTCGAGGTGTAAGGTTTGTACATTCTATTAATTAACTTTAAATAATAAGTATAGTATGTGTGAAGAATATGGAAATTGTAATTGATAATTTGTAATTGGATAGATTTTGTTGTTATTTGACATCAGGTTTAAATGTACAAGAAGTTGCCTATATTACATAATTGTATATTATAATTAATTATGTTAAAGATATTTGAACTATAAAATATGAAACTAATTATAATTATTTTTTAGGGATTTCATTGAATCTGATTTGGTTAACTTCGCCAAGGATCATCCAGGAGTTGTCGTGTATTTGAAGCCGAGGAGGCACAGGGGTCCGGTTATTGTAGCGGAATACTGTAAGGTTCTTTTCTGAAGACGTTCTTTAAGTTTGTTTCATTGATGATGGTTTGTAGTGAACGGTGAGAAGCAGCACGTCTACTGCAGGAACTTCACGAGCGAGGTGGTGAGCAAATGGTTGACTTTGCTGAAGAACCAGCAGGGAAACCACGAAGGAATGAGATTGAGGAAGATGTGGCACACCGATCACCCTTCGATCCAAGGCCCATGGACGCCGTACACCTTCAGGGAACCAAGTCTGAATTTGGCCGAATTCCCCAACGACAAACTGAGCAGCCCCGCGTCGCTGGAACCGTCCGCCACCGATAGATTGATCGAGGCGTTCAAAAAGCAGCAGCTGAAAGAGCTGGAATAGGTTTTAAGATATAGGTACAATCTAAGTAGTGTTATTTATAGTCTTTATTTTGTTGTTATTTGAATAAAACGGATGTTCCGTTCAGGCGGATGAAAACAATCGCCGTCTTTTCGCCTCTCTCTGTCTTTCTCCACCTCCACACGCCGCCTTTGCCAGTCGCGACCTCGGATCCTGTTGGCCGCGCGCAGGATTTGATCATACTATGAACAAACCAGTCTGTGTTTACTTGGGAACCGCGCGCGTCCGTACACACGTTCACAACAAAACCGGAGGCGATTCTTTCATCGGAAGAAACGATACATTAAATTATTTAATTCATTTCAAATAAAAGAGAAAAATTGGGATGATGGCAATTGCGTGTGAAGTGTGCGAACGTTCGTCGTCCTGAGATCCTGTTATGCAGACGTTCCGGGTAACAACCGCCCCCGACAAACACGTAATTATATTCAAAATCAATTTTTCGACACCTTTGCAACCAAACCCTCCCTCCCACCTCTTCATCACATACACACAAAAGCACGAGACCAAATGAGTGTGTATTCCAACCCTTCCGTCCAAGTAACAATAACCCTTCATCACCAAATCTATGCAACCCAAGCTACGTTTTTTTTTTACTGTTGTTGTTCTTATAAAGCAACGAATTTCGTTATATTTCATCTTGCGATTTAATTACGAGCGGTTGCCAAGTATGCAAATTCAGAAGCCAGTTTACACGGAACTGGTGCATTCCTTAAAGCCTTTCCTACACCGTAAACATTCTGTTATTGCACGAACTCTAAAGCGCATACTTGATTATAATTGTAAAATTAAAAAAAAAACAAAAATGAATTACTTCACTCAGTGTCAACCAATACCATAAATTCAACAATGACTTATTCTTAATTAATCATTACTTCCATGTATTTTCTTCAATTGTTTTCATTTGTTATATTGAATTATTACATTCAATTAGTCATCGATTTTCAATAACTTTGATATCCTTTTTTTAAAATTGCAATTGAAATTTTAAATCGCACACTTGATTATAATGTATAAAAAAAACAAATTCAAGATTGAAAAACATAAATAACTTTAAACTTAATCAATTTCCAATAAAGTCATCAATAATAATAAATCTTATATAACTATATTCACTGAAGAAGTTATTAGATAAGATTAATCTGCAATAGATGACGTAAAATATGATTATAAAATATAATTATTTATATAGAAACATTCATTTTTTATAATGACTAATTAAATAAATTGGATATTACAAATATGCATTAGTAATATTTCCTGTATCATGACAATATTCTATGATAAAAATACTGTATTCATCTGTTTTCTACAAGGATTATATTTCTTCCACTACTATTATGCATGGTATTCCACAAGGAAGTGTTATTGGACTTGTAACAATCAAATCTAAAGTTTAGTTACATTTTAATACTACTGTTGAGTTCTGCAAATGCGAGACAATAGAATCCATTAAATTTACATAGCAATGCGTTAAAGCAAACAACGAAACGGCATTAACTCGACTACGGGTTTTCGGATACTCACTTTATGTTCCGCGATATTAATAATAGGTGCTCCAAATGCAAAAGCAATTCGCGACGAAAACACCTTCTTCTTTTAATGGGGCAACGCTTGACCTCCTTTCCATTTTCAACCCTCTTGCAAATTGCAAAGTCGTCGCCAACCAAGTGTATGTGTATGTGTGCACGGCTTTAACATTGCGTTTGGGCTTTGCGCCCTCTCCGTTGGACAACAATGACGAAAGCGGATTACGTCGAGCTACCTGTGTCGAGAGGTGCAAATGTTTTGGCTTTGATGAATTCTGAACGCAAATCCTGTTAAATGCGCGCTCATTGGTTTATTGGAGATTGATGCTGCTGCACAAATCAAATTCGCTCCGCGTAACTGCATCACTTTGTGATGGGAATTTGCGATGTAAACCATTTATAATTATAAAATCCTATTTGTAAGATGAACAATTTAACACTTTTAATCTATTTGTGAATAATTTTATAATATCAATAATAATAATAGTTTAAATTAAGGTGATTTGATGAGTTTTATGATTATGAATGTTACGTATCAATTACCTAGAAATCAATTTAACGAAAATGTCAAAAACTGACATTAAATCAGGTCATGGAACACTTCGATTCAATTGTTATCGTCCAAAAGAAACGTAAGAAGTCAATGAAAGTGCGTCTATGAATGGGCTTGTTTCCGTATGCAAATGAGCGTAGTTTTCGAGTTGCCGAAATACTTTTAACGTGTTCTTCCAGAAAAAAAGAGTCGACAAAAATGAAATGAATAGGCGATTTCTTGTGCACATGATTCGTTCATTAAGTGACGTTTAATTGACAAATGGCGTGATTCGTGTAGAGGGTGGAGGAAAGTAAATAATATGGGAGAGAACCGGCCACGCAATTTCGGTCGCCCTACTTATATGTAACAATAATGAAAGGTGTGTATTTGTTGGAAAGAGAGAGAAAAGTGAAGTAACCCCGTCGAGCATTGCGGAATTGCTTTGTGCATAAAATGTCATGGCATTTTGTTCGCGCGAAAGGGTGTTGCACCCCTACCGAAAAGGGTGTGAGAGTTCGAGCGAGGCCGAAGATTGCATGAAAATTAAAATAGAAACAAGCGGGTGATCACCAGGATCATTCTATTTATATACTCTCGTCGGCCTTTATTCTTCTGCTCAGATCGATTACTCTATGGGGGGGTTGCTTTTTTATCGCCAAATCCTGAGTCGAAGGGAAGGTTGTGGTGGTGGAGGAGGAGGTGTCGCGCATTCGGAGAGATAGTACACCCATCATCGCAGGACTTAATTAAATTGGCCCACCTAGAATATCCTAGGGAGAGAAAAAAAAAGCAACTAAGTCTGTTAGTTTCATTATGTAATTAAAGGACTTGCCCTGTGCAAACGGAACCGTCGTAAAACCATGTGTGTGTGTGTGTATTTTCAAAAGATTGCATTTGCAATCGATACTGCCGGCGTTGCATTTACTTTTAAACTCTTAGCAAACCCAGAACATTACCTTGAAGAACACCAATTGTTATGAATTTCCATTGCATAAGTTTATATTTCTGATAAATATTTTTACGATTTGCAAATTTACAATGAAAACTTTAAAAATAAGAAAAACAAATTACGACAAAATATAAATATGTTTCGTTTGATAATAAAATAATGTTGTTTATGACCAAGTAACGTCATTTTATACATAATTCTAAAAAAAAAACGTAAGAAAGTTTGCTGCAATTAATTTTGCAAGATAAAAAAAAGTTTGTTTTTATAAAATCCTATTTGGAAGATATATATATATATATATGATGAACAATTTAACACTTTTAATCTATTTGTGATTAATTTTATAATAATAGTTTAAATTAAAGTGATTTAATGAGTTTTCTGATTATGAATGTTACGTATCAATTAGCTAGAAATCAATTTAACGAAAATGTCAAAATCTGACATTAGCTCAGGTCATGGAACACTTCGATTCAATTGTTATCGTCCAAAAGAAACGTAAGAAGTCAATGATAAATATTTTTACGATTTGCAAATTTACAATGAAAACTTTAAAAATAAGAAAAACAAATTACGACAAAATATAAATATGTTTCGTTTGATAATAAAATAATGTTGTTTATGACCAAGTAACATCATTTTATACATAATTCTAAAAAAAAAACGTAAGAAAGTTTGCTGCAATTAATTTTGCAAGATAAAAAAAAAGTTTGTTTATTTTTTTCATAATTGTCGATTCATTTCATGTGTTTAAAGGAAGTTTACGTTAATTTCCTGCTCAATTAACTCCAGTTTAGGGACCTTTTGTAATCGGAAACAAAACACACACACATATAAAAAGAACAAGAAGGGATGAAGAAAAGGGAAATGTGGGCTTTGAATTATTGAATCGTTCCATTATGAATATTCCGGAGAGACGATTCAAAGTAATACTTCAATTATTCACGAGGCACCGCGTGTAACGGAAAATCTGCGCGTCTCGCGACTTCTCCCATGCTCCCCAAACATTATCATCATCCTCCTCCACCTCAGTTCGCTTCGCGATAGGAAGCCAGGTGGCAGCTGTCCATCCAAACAGAACCACCGGATCGCACTTTCATCAACAACAAACACAAAGTGATGGTCGTCGTCTCTTCTACACCTGCAGTGACAGAACGACACTTGGTGAACCAACCGTGAATACATGCCACACTTGTGCTGAAGGTAAAGAAACAGAGAAAACAACCGAATCACACACTTTTGAATCATCGCTTTCTTTGATAAATTTATTTACTTACATTATCCAAAGCTCACCGAATTACGTATCAATGATTTCAATGTGCCAATGATCAAACTCCTCGCAATGCATATTTAATCCTAAACGGCAGCCGGTATATATTCATAATGTAGTTACCAAACATCGCGTTTCCTCTATCTCCGTCGCTCCACATAACCCACGGTTATTTACTGGCTTTATCTCCTCCTCGATATCTAATCTCCACGAATTAACTTATTTGCTCATCAACGTAAATACCTGCGACCTAAAAGAGTAGATCTTTTATCGGACAATCGTAATCTGAAGAAATCAATCCTATAACAATAAACTCGTAATTAAACAAATTAAAAACCGAAAGCAAGAAGTATTCAATTGAATCATCACAATTGAATACTTCTTCGTACAAATTTTAAGCAGTTTTCAACTAACAAAAATCATTACTAAGTATTGCATTTCTATAAAGTAATCATTAATTACTTTTCAATTCATGTGGAACTATTATTTTTTATGAAAATAATTAAGTTTTTAATAATTTTCAAATTTTAGAAAAAAATCTTCAATAGTTTAATTAACAATAAAAATATTGTTTATCAATTATCAACTATTATTATAAACAGCTACGGAAAGCCTCTAAACTACTTTTCTCAAGGTTTTCTGACTAATCCTGAAATCTAGTAAACACATTTTTCATTGATTGTGCATTAAGTAATTTAAAAAATAAACAACAACATAAAATATAAAAATCAACATAAACGAAGAAATGCGAACGGAGAAATATTACGAAAGGTGAAAAATTAATGCGGCAATCCACGTTGATTAAGTTGATTCATTTATGGTTTATGGATTTTCTCGTTAATGTGATTGCGATGGATTCCCACACACTTTACCGGCGCATCAAAAATGCAATCCATTCGAATTGATATTGGAGAAAACGCGATTCCGCGAGATTATCACGTAGATCTCACCGATAATACTAATTAATTAATCAATCTTAATTATATAAGTTTTGCAACGTATCATCAATTTTGAAAACGTCACGATACGTCAAGTGTAATGGCACGTCAATTATGTCACATTGAAACGTCTGATTGATGTATTTTAATTTGGAAACATCTAGTTTATGTTTATTTCTTGTCTTGAAAGAGTTACTGATAACTTAATCATAAATTGCATCGACAGTTACGTCAATTAATAATAAAATTAGTTACAACTGACAGGTTTGAAACGTCAAATTGTGACAGGTCAATTATGTCAAATCGTTTAATTGACACGTATGTATCGGAAACATTGGAACGTCTGATTGATGTATTTTAATTTGGAGACATCTAGTTTATGTCTTGTTCTCGCGCACTGAAAGAGTTATTGATAACCTAATCATAAATTGCATCGACAATTACGTCAATTAATAATAAAATTAGTTACAACTGACAGGTTTGAAACGTCAAATTGTGACAGGTCAATTATGTCAAATGGTTAATTGACACGTATGTATCGGAATTAACATTACACATAAACTGTCAGCAAATTATAATGGATACATTATGTGAAATTATCTCTTTTTCACGTATACAACAACGTTTGTTTTGATTACGTTAATCACATAACTAATTATTTCTTTAAACTAGAGCTGTTATTTGTTTCGAGGCGGACACATGTGCAGGCATAAATACAGGAAAAACAATAAAATTTAATCTCAGCGCGGTGACTAATCGAGAATCTGTACTGAAAATGAGCCGAAACAGGAATTCGAACGCTCTTTTCCAGAGTCGATTAAAAGCAAAATGGAAATATTATTGCATATGAATACGCAATATTTCCTGCTTGAAGGAAAACAACAATTTGTCAAGATTATTTTGTTATGACACGATTAAATATGTCTTTGAACTGGAGCCTCTGTTATTTCTGTCGAAAACGCAATTTGTGTCGAAGCAGCACACTTTCTTTGATGCCATTATTATATGTTTCACCTAAGCGCTCTGAAACGAGAGCGACGTGATCGAAATTGTCGAGGCAAGCACATAAATACAGGAGAAACAATAAAATCTAATCTTGGTGCGATAACTTAAGCTGAATTGAAATCAAGGAATTTAAATGCACGCACATTCCGTGTATCGATTAAAAGCGAAATGGTAAGTAATAACAACGAATGGTGGTGTTAGATCTGTGTCGTTGAATCAATTATAAAACGGCAATTTAGAAATATAATCTGACCATTTGATAAAGTGGCCACGCACGTGTTCTATTCTTGAATCTATTGGCACTAATTCATTCATTGTCATATCGATGTACACTCGCGACGCACTGAATTCTCTTCTCGCCTCAGCTGAATCCCATTTAGATTGCGCTCCATTCCGCAATTCAGCTTCAATCAAAACAGATTGACCCCGCTTTCAATTCGCGATTTGTCATGAAAAAAACAACAAATAAATCGTGTAAACTGTTTCAATCTTTTTAAAATTTCATCCAATCTTTGCTTATTCATATCCAGACTAAAACTGTTACGTGTCCATAACAGGAATGTATTTGCGTAATTATACCTTGTACCATCAAAACTTCTTGGATTGTATCGATTCTCATCATATGACTTATTCAATAGTTAATATATTCCTAAACGGTTTAGCAATATCTACAATTACATTTTTTTACACCTTTTCTATTATGTAATACGCTTTATTTTGTATTATTCATTTCTTCGATAGGACTTTAAGTTTGTTGAAGTAAAATTAATTATTTATTTACTAAATTTATCAATTGTTGAGCAAACATTAATGATAAGAGTTAATAGTAAATATTTTAGTAGATAACGGAAAATGCGGTAATAATTAATTGAAGTATACGTATTCCGTGAATATGCGACTAATATTTAGATACAATAACAACTTTGTAGGAAATTGTAACAGCAAACTACAGTTTACTTTAAACTTTTACCAACTTATGTGAACTATAACAAAACAATCGTATTTAACAAACACATACAATTGGTATTACCTAAAATTAGAAAATAACATGTTGTTTCTTATAAACTAAATCTACATTACACATAATTAATAACTATTTATCAATGCAATACAAGATAATTAAACAAAATGTTTAAGCAACCAATTAATCTAACTTAAGCATAATTACCAACTTTTTTTTTACAAATGTAATATAGTTAAAAAAATACAATTGTACGTGTACAAAGCATAATACTTTTATGGGAGTTTTTGTATCTTTGGTTACAAATTTTAAATCGTCGTTGTATATTTTTATGGCTGTAATAACAATAATGACATACATGTTTCGTGTATATTCAGATGGAAAATGCAACAAGCGAATTGTGTAGGATGAGACATAAACAAATGTTGCACAAGTGTAATAACGAAACAAAAAAATGTTCATTTTATAGAAATTATGTAACATTTAAATCGTCAATTCTACATTAATTAAATCAAAGAAAACAATTGAAGGTGTTGTAGAAGATTCTAAATATTTGCGTTATTAAATGCGCGAAGTTGTTTAAATAACAAGATTCAGTTGGATGAGGCAAATATTGTGTAGCATTGTTGCCGGTAATGTTAAACACATAAGGAGAAACATTACATTACATTGTTTTGGTAATTAGTATGTCATGTCCTTAGTCATCGTTCCACGTTCGCTATCTACTACCACCTTCCTTCTTTTTCCATCCATTATTCGATTCACGAATAGAAAGGAAATGAAATATCTGCAACTAAGTTTTCATTTTAGCTTGTCTTTTGTTACTGAGTAATGGACTCGCACTTACAACTCATTGTGAGTTTCCGCTAAAATTCGTCATAATTTGCAAAATTTACATTATACATTTTAACTAAAAAGATTAAATTTTTCGTAAATTTTTCAAAATGTATCCACAAAATGGGACACCGACTGTATTATATGATAAATATGTAATTATGTATTTAGACTACAATAATGATTTATTACGAAAAAATAAACACGAGCCAGTAGTAAATAAATTATGTATTACAACAGTGATAGTAGGCCACGGTTTCAGAACGAAGGAAGAAGCAAAAAAAATAATAAATGAAGCGAGAGAGTGGACGAAAACAATGACTAATAACGTAGTCGATTTTAAAGCGAATTCAAAGTTTTCCGATCGAATTAATGAAATATTCAGGTGAGAAATGTATTTGGGAACGTCGTATTTCTTTGTAAAGTTGAATAATTAATATTGAAATTGTGTAATTATTGTACGGAGATACGAGGAGTGGGGCTGTCTCTAATCATGGTCTATCTGGATGTTATGTAGTTGTGCTGGTGATACGTTCAGTTGCGTGGAAGGATGTTTGCGGTGAAGTCGTGTTTCGTTCGTTAAGTGCTCTCACTCTCGCTCTTTTTATTTTTGTTATCTTCGGATTTCGCATTCTCTTTGCACGAAACACAAAAAACGAGAGGAAGTATACTGAAAACTATGGAGATAAGTGCTGACTGAGGTATAGTGAATTATCTTGGATATACGCACCGGAAATACCGTGCCCGTAAGAACATTCCTGAATGACTTTTTATCTTATCACTTATCTTAAATTCAATAACTAAGTTAATATTAACATTGACAATAATGTTGATTTTAATGGAAATAATTGCAGTTTCATTGGAATCAATTCAATAATTAAATTAATTTGAACATTTACATAATCTATTAACTATAAGAATCTAAATAATTGTAGTTTTAATACATACAAAAATCACTCAAATTTATGGATAATTTTGTAAAATTCTAAATTTATCATTCAAATTAATTTTTGATTTATATTCATTTACGTAATTGTCAAATAGTTTAGAGTTTTACAAATAATTAAAAGCAAATTTTGTTAATATAATAATCAATGTTTTTCATTACAATTACATAATTATTGAGGATGTTACAAAAGTTTTAAGAAATGCAATTTTTAAAATCGACAAACAAATATTTAATAATATAATTTTT